AAATTTTTGATCCCTGAAATTCTTGGTAATACCAATGTTCACTTTGGTTTTGTTGCAAGCATGGCCCATTTATATTAATGATCAATGTGGAGAATTAAAGCAATCTAGTCAAAAGAAAGTCTATGTATGTTTTTATTGATAGGAATTATTAAATTTTATAGTTGATATTTTAATTATTTAATAAATCAATTTTCATTTAACTTTAAAATTCCTGTTGTATTTGGTAATTTGAGACTTAATTGACCTGAATCTGTGATAAATTAATACAAATAAAAAAATTAATGAACAAAACAAATGATCAATCAATCAATCCAACAAATAATAATCAATACCTCTAAAATCCCTTTTGTCAAATGTTTGAATTGCATCAGTGAAATCGAGTAATCTACTAGTGTATATAGCATTAGGATGTATTTCCTCTTTGTCTTTATCTTGAATCTTTAATGAATTAATCCTAAATATTTCTGCATTTACAAATTGATTAATATAGATGGTAAGGGTATACCATTTATATCTAATGACTTGTTTGATTTCTTTTGCTGTAGGTCTTTTTGATGGGTCAGCATCCCAACATTGTTTCATCAAATCTACATAACATTCTGGGGTACCATCAATTATGGGAGGTCTTAATCCTTCTCCTTTACCACTACTACCACAAATATCCATTGCCAATTCTATATTGTGTGGCCTATCAGAAAATGGTTGTTGACATGAAGTTATCTCCCACATTACCATACCAAAACTATAAATGTCACTTTCCTTTGTATACTCTTGACCTTTCAATACTTCGGGTGCTACATATGGTAACACACCATAAATTGCATTTTTTGTGGTTGAGTTGTTGTTGGTGGTAGTGATTGGACGTGACATTCCCAAATCACTAATATAAGTCCAACCTTGATCACGTAAAATATTTCCAGAATGAAAATCACGATGTACCACATTTGCTTCATGAATTGTTGCTAAACCAACGATAACACTTTCCAACAATGCTACTTTACCCATCCATGATCGCATCTTTGAATTTAAAATAAGATCTTTACGTAAATCACCAGCTCCTGCATGTAATAATACCAACATATAATTTTTTGTTGAATTGTCTTTTGTTATACCATAACATTTCAAAACAAAAATACTATTACAACGTAAATGAAGTTTTAACTTTTTTGAAAGAAATAAAAAATTTTTTTTTATTCATCGTCAAAGTAATTAAATTATCAAATAATTAAATAATTACATAATTAATTTTACCTCATTTAAGTATTCATCACTCAAAGATTCAGATGAAGTATCCAAATTTTTCAAAGCAATTTTACAATTAGATTTTCTGTTCAACTTTACACCATCCCAAACTATTGGGCCATCAATCCAAATTGCTTCATAAATAGTGCTAAAGCCACCTTTGCCTATTTTTTTCACGATTTTAATCTTTTCATATGGTATCCATTCCAATATTCGACCAGGGTTGATTGGATTAATTTGCGTCTCCTGGATTAGTTCATCAATTTTTTGATTACCGCTTGTCCAATTTATAAAATTCTCTTGAAATATTTTAGTTTGGCACACAGAACACCATCCGTTGTCAGTTTGTGGTTGATCGCACGTATCACAATTACCATACGATGATTTTGAAGTGCCGTTCATTTTGCGCAAAAAAAAAAATTTACTGTGAGTGGTCAAATTTGTAAACGTGGTGGAACAAATAATATTAATATGGATGTAACAAAGTAACGGAATAATTCCAAGGATTCAAATTCTTGATAATAGTAACAAGTATTATTAATTCAACGATTCTTTTTTCAAGTTTTCAATTTCCTACTTCTGCAAAGAACAACAAAAATTAGATTTCCCCACATTTAAATTCATTCAACCTAGAATGGGTTATCTAATTTAGATCTTAGTACTAATCATCCATCGATTAACTTACTTGGTAATAAGAGATCTATAACCAATTTAGATTCATCCTAAACAAAATTCAAAAATTTCGCTTCCTAAAAAACACGCCCAAAAACAATTAGCTGAACCATAGCAAGTAAAAAATTACAAAAAATATTTAGATCCAGTTTACATGCGAGTGAGAAATAAGATTAAAGTAACGTTGATCTTACCAAATTAAGTGGAAATCGACCGATAGTTTAAAGTGAAGCAAACCAAACAATCGTGAAAGGATTAATTATTCCACTTTGTCAAGATTGAGTGTGTATAAATATACGTGAATGGCTTTACATAAAAATGTTTTTTACTTGGAACTTGTTTCTTTAAAACATTATTATTGTTATTATTATTATTTATTATTATTATTATTATGTTATTATTACAAAAAAAAAAACGTTACTTATAAAAATATATAATTTAAACAAATTAAATTATAAAATTAATAAATATGCATGTATTAATAAATATAAATTTTAAAAAATTATCAAACAGGTTGTTGCACGCAAGAGGAAATACACATTTTACTCCATTCACTGATAGTCATATCCCTATTAAAGAAAAAGGGTTTTTAATTAATTAGAATTATTATAACTAATAAACAATAAAAATTATGTACAATAACTACGTCTTTCTTTTGGTAAATGTCTTGTTCAACAAATTTAAAAGCTTGTTGACGTTCAATCTAACATATTCAAGGTCTATTGATAAAACATTATCTTGTTGCTAATAAAAAAAATTTTAAGAATTAATTAATATATTCGTGTGTATATATATATATATATATATATATATATGTTCACATATAAATAATATTCACTTTTTCCAAAAGATCGTCAAGCTTCAGATCCATTTCTAAAATAGCAGCATCACGGCCTTTATAGTAAAGAGCAATCATAAATGCTCCAGGCAGTGGCGATGAAATATTGAAAAATATCCCTTCCCGTCTAAATAATTTTTTCCAGACATAAAATAAATTGTCTATTGATTTATTGGTTGAACGATTCATCTATCAAAATTTATCAAAACTTACCTATTATCAGGAACACTACTGTCTTCAATAATTCCCTCTTTTTCTAATTGAATATATGTAAATTTGTAAGGACCTATAATTTTTGATTTCTGAGTTTTCTTTTGTTTATCACCCACTTTAACTACACTTGAATTAAAACCACCAGCTGAATCATTAGCTGCATGTTTTCTAACATTTTGTAAATATATTTTATAATTATCCAATTGACTTCTCAAATAATTATTGTGATCGCATATGGTTTTATAAACAGATTCAAGTGATCTAATTTCTTTAGTGACACCTTCTCGAAGATTTCCAAGATGTGCAAGTTCTTGTTCAACTTCTTCGGTCATTAATAGATGCCCATCAGATCGTTCTATAACCTTAGCCTCTTCTAATTCACGTAACATCTCTTTCACTTTAATGCCCTTTCTAACCAGTAATGCGTCTTTTGTTGTCGCTGCAGTCTCTGCTATCCACAGTAAATCTATTGGACGACGCTCAGCCATTTGTGGTATGGAACGAATAATCTGTATGATGATTGATTTTGCCTCCATATATAAAATATCATTTTGTGTCAAGCTATTATCGGCCAAAAGAGAAGTGGCAATGTCTAAACAAAATATTTTGAGATTAAATAAATTATTATTGTTATCATTATCTCTCTCTGTCATTTAAAATTAAAAAAAAAATATTATAATAATGATAAAAAATATTCAAATTGTTTTGAAAATTTTTTTTTGTAATCCTCAAGAATTAATTAGATTTTCCACCATATATAATTTAATACCTACTCTAACTCTCATATTATTAGGGTACTAGTGGTGGTAGTGCATATAAAATTTTACTATAATATATATATATCTTGAAATTTTTATAAATATACCTTGTATTGGTGTTTCCCATCTACTGAATAAAGGAAGTTCGATAGCTTTATTTTCATTTCTAGGGACTTGAGAAGGAGCTAGACTTAAATCGTCAAGTAAAATTCTTAAATGGTTGTTTTCAGAGGGTGCCTATTAAAATAAAAATTGATTAAATTGTTAATTAATTAAAAAATCAAATCAATATTATCTTATATAATTTGTTTGACTTGATATTATTATTGAAAAAAAAATTTTTTTCCATACTAAAACATCCTGATGCTGTAAAAGCAATGCATGTGTATTGTAAATCTCGTTCAGAGTAATATTCAACGTTATATTTTTCTTTGAAAGAGCAATGTATTGATCCATCTAAATAGTAATAGTAATAGTAAATAATAATAATAATAAATTCAAGTTTAATAAAATTAAAATTAAAGGCTAATAAATAAAATGTGTCTACATAAATGTAATAAATATTTACTTCTAAACTTTCATAAAAATCTCCTACTTCACATAATTCCAACAAAAATTTGTTAATCTTTTGTTTGTTATTTTCAACAAAATCAAAATCATTAAGCACTCCCATATAATCTTCTTTGGCATAAGATGGTTTATTTGCCAGATTTTGCAACATTTTTGCAACCTAATTTAATCATGAATCGATTGAAAAATTTAGTTCAATAACAATTTATAAATAAATAATATCTTTCTTCAAAAAAAAATCCAACTAACCAGTGTTAAAGTTCTTCTAGGATGAGTGCTGGGCACACCATCCACCAACATGTATGCCTGAGGAGTCACAACTGCAGGATTAACAAATCGAAGAAAGAAGAAACCACCAATCAAGGAACATATGGCAATTTCAGTTGCATTTGGATATTTACGCTAAAACATAATATCATGTAAGAACAAGTTGTAAATTAAATAATAGTTGCAATAAATAAATAAATAAACATTTACTTTTGTTAATGATCTAATTTGTTTACATATCCATCTAATACCATAAGGTACTTGTTCTATAGATTCAATTATAGTAATAAGAAATTTATTGGCTATTTCAATCAACATTTTCATTCGAGGTTGAATTATTTTCATAACTTCCGGGTTTGCAGCAGCAACTTCGGTAGTTACACTACGTGGAAGATCAGGTGGAAGAAATCCATTTTCTTCCTCGTATTTTTTAACAACTTGTTCGTAAACCTAATATTAGCCAATATATATATATATGCATGATTTTAAACAAAACAAAACAAATTTATAAAATCCAAAGTTTTTTTACACACCTTCAAAGGATTTATTTCAAGATTTAAATCTTTGTGTTCTATTAAATTGTTAATTCGTTCAGATAGCATAGATTTTAAATAGCTTTGACCAGGCCCTCGACGAGTATATGTTGTCATCATACGTGATACGGGAGTATTTGCTCGAAGAAGAGAATTAAAATCTGCCGTTGTTTCAAATTGTGCAGAAAGCACTGACTATAAAAAAAATATTATTATTAATAAGAAAAAATTTTCAAGTATTAAAAATAATTAATTAAACAGAAATTACTTGAAACATGGTCAATAATAAATGTTCCTCTCTACTTTCATACTGATTCCCATATAAAGTAAACATGACCGTTTGTAACAATGTGTCGATTTCTGATAGTGCTACTAGGCGACATAAATTTGCTATATGGCCAGGCTCTGTTTGGAGCAAAAAGAAAAGATTTCCATATAATTGCAATTTTCGATCATCCGGGAAATTACCATCTTGTGGATCAGTTTCTTCAAGATGACTCTCCACTTCTTGTTTCTTTATTATAATTAGAAATATAAATTGTTTTTTGTATATAGGATCAAGATATATATATGCATTCTAAATCTTTGTTCACGAATTTTTGCAAATATATAAAATTCAATAAAAAACAAAAAAAAAAAGTGTATACTTTAAATCATTCTAATCTTGTTGAAAACTACCTCATCTAATGCCATTCGATTCTGTATTAACAATGCAATACGAGAATCCAAGTATCTAACGTCTCGTTCTAATACAAAGTTTTTCTTGGATTGTGAAGATATCTTAATTTTAAGATCTCTTAAAATTCTTTGTGCTTTTTAATTTAAATATTAATAATATATAAATGTCAATATGAATAAAATATAGTTATAATTAAAAATTTCATATATAAATTGCTCCCCTCTCACTTTACCTCTTGCCAATTCATCTTCAACTTCAACATCTTGTTCAGTAGCCATTGAGTATAATGCCGTCACAGAATACCTATTACTGGTACGACTAGCAACAGTACCTGTGGATCTCCGGCCAACATTACTACTATTGGGTGGACGTGAACCAGGTGTTATAGGTATTCCATAAGTTGCTAATAAACCTTGATGTTCCATTTATTTTATTTGAACGTCAATATTTTTTTTTTTTGGTTAAATTTTACCAAAAAAGAAATAATAAATATAATTTCCTTATTTTATAAATAAAAAAAAATAAGGAATTGTCTTTTTAGAAATAAAATGCTTTGTATCTTTAAATATCAGTATCTATGCTATTTATGCTATTAAATAATTAAATAAAATTAATTTATTCATTCATTTAACAATTTTTAACAATGCATTCATTATAAATTAATTTATGCGCAACCAACTGCCATGTGGTCTTTTATTTTATTATTTCTTATTTTAGAAAAAAATTTACTAGTTGAGATTTACCCTTAATTGAACACCAAAACTTTGTCTCTGAATGGTTTGTAAAACAAAGATTTGCAGTGTTTGTTAAATTGCGCGCACAAACTTTTCTTGGAGATAAAATCACAGCAGTGTTGGCAATTTAATTGGTTCAAATTTACTATTACTTAAAGGCTTATTGATCTGTATTACATTTAATTCGTGATCCATGATAGAAGCGCATACTGCGCCATGTTTACTGAAATCCAGGGTGCTAAGTAGCAAAATCAAAAACTTGTAAAGAAAACAATAATAAAAAATATGTCAAAATAATGGTTGAGATTTTTTGCATCATATTATTTAATATTCTGTGTAATATTTATCATGTGTGCTGGTAGAAAAAATTTGGAAGTTGGTCAATTGTAACCATTTGATAGTGATGATCCCCCACAATTTACTAATTAATTTTCAGAATTTTATCTACTTCTATCACGTTAATAGAAATTGCCATGTAAAATAAACTAGTATTAGTTTCGAGTTTCGGATTCAGATTGGACAAAAGATTTAGATTTCTCCTGAACATTAGAGATGATAAAATCTATGGAGATGTTGTACGTGAAAATGAAATTATGTGAATTCGCAATTGGAATTCAAATTTACATATGTGAAATTCAAATTAGCCAATCAGAATTTCATTCCATAATATTTCAATTTCACATAATTTCAATTTCACATACAACAGAGATAAAGGTATATATGCCACATACAAGGAAAAGAGAGAAAGATTAAAAAATATAAGTTATTTTAACTTACACATAGAAAATACATCACAAATAACACTAATGCACAAGTTAATAAGCCACTGAAGCAATTTCACAGGAAGAAAAATGCTCAGACCCAAAGACATTGATGAGCATCACCTATTCTTTGGTCACTATGGCAGAAACCTCTATGCTACTTTTTTATTATCATTACAGTCAAACCTTGTCACAGCGGATGAACGGGACACATAGGAAAATTTTTATTGTTATATATGTTTTCATATGGGAAGCAAAGATTTAAAAATCCGCTACGGCAAGAATTTAATTATAATCCGCTGTGATAAGGTTTGACTATATCAATAATATCATTATTATTACTATTAATAACGTTATTTTCTCTTCCTTCGTCTTTTTCACTTTATTTTCTTTGCACAATTAATCTATTATGATCTGTTTAGCTTCCAGTAAAGCCAACATCAGTAAAAACAGCATCACATTCTTTATCAGCTTCATTTAAGACTGAAGAAATTTTTACTGGCACTCTTCGATCGGTTTTAAAGTAAGTCCATGTCCAACTACATTTTTATCTGTTTAATTTTGTTTTTTTTTTAATGGTGATGGTTGTTCATTTGAGACGAATTAGCCATCTGATTGTTTACCTTAAAAGGATCGAAAGATTGTGTAAATTTTTATAAAATAAGAGTGTTAATTTACATTATTGTTTTTTTATAATAATAATCATCATTACATTGGATTAGCGAATTGTGACGCAAATAATCAAGTGTTGAATGCAATGTTTGTTGCCGCTTGATTGCACAATATTATATTATTTCATTTGATGAATTTTTATCCTTTGAATTTTTGGATAATTTTCAATCTATGTTTTTATTTAAAAAAAGATGACATGCATTTAAGTAGCGACCAAATGTACTAGCATGCATAGAGTAAATATTTGAAGCTCTTGCAGCCACCATAAGGTCGGTTAAAGGCAATAAAAATTTATGTAATATTTTATTGTCTATTGGATTCACAAGTGTTCTATAAGGTTCAAGTAAAGGATCAAAATCTAAAAGCATATATGAACAGGGGAGAGCTTCAATAAGGGGTGTAATTAAATTACTGTCTTTAGTAACATCACTAGTGATAAATAAATTCGGAGTCGAATAGTTGAAATCTTTATTGACATTGTTGATAAATTTTTTAAGATGTTGATTTCTATTTGAACGAAAATGATCGTCACCGATTTCTAGCATGAATTGATATGAAATTTAAGAATCCACCCAAATTATCAACAATTTTATCAACAACTTCCAACATTATTTTATTATTTGGCATCAGATTTGATCTTATTTTGTTTAAGAATCTTTTCCATCACTTGAATCAAGAATTATTCTATGTGTTCCAAATAAACTGCCAAAATAAAAAAGTTTTTTGTGTTATTTCTAAGAGCCAGTAAAGACTCAAAATCCTTATGTGGATTTTTTTTTAATACTTTAGCATCAAGAGTATCTGAATCGTAAAATGAATGATTGGTGTGATATTTGAATGACTTATAAACTTGATTCAAAGGATCATTTATATTTAAAATGTTAAATAATTTCTTATCACTGTAATCTGATACAGGTAAAATCTTAATATTATATTCTGCAACAATACTAAAATTGAATAAATTATCCCATTGATAAAATGTATAAGAATCATGAAATCGAATACAACTAGATTCATATTTAGGTTTGGAATCTTTACAAACAATTTCTGCTGGCTCTGATCTCAATTCTGTCAAATTTTTTTCCAATCGGCGGAATGGTCTTCTTATTCCAAGCAAATATGGTGGCATAACTAATGTTCTATCTAAGAACCAAGATAGAAATATTGCATTCTCTAAAGCAATTCTTTGATTGTGAAATCCACTATGAGGAAGAAATGTGAGATAAAGTTCTTCATCATTTGTTATTATTTCAGTACTATTATTACTACTATTATTATTATTACTATTATTATGATTTCTAATGCTACTATTGATATCATAAGTAATATTATGATTATTATGATTGAAATATGATTTCAAATGAAGTTCCAATATTGATAAACATACATTTCCATCATCATCTTGACATGTAAGCACATTAAGGAAATAAATTAATCTAAAAAATGTGAGTACCAAGATAATGCGACTTTCACCGCATACGGCTCCTCACCCTTTTTTCTGCTATTAAAAGTCCTTTAAAATATTTTGAATGTGAAATGGAAAATGTTCTATTATTATTATTATCGATTTTTGTATGAAGATTTGATGTTGTCATTTTTATTTTAAATTTTATATGATTATTTATTTTTTCAAATATGTAATTTATTTTTTAAAAAAAAGCATTTAGAGAATTGTCATGATAACAGCAGGAATATATAAATATAAACTAGCAATGTATAATAATTGAATAATTGCAGCATAGTTGATAACCCCGTTTATTTGTTTTATTATTCTTTGATGTAAAAAATTATTATTTTTTTGTCGACAGATTATGAGCTGAGTCTATTTCGTAACAAAGTAATTTATTGTCCCGCATAAGAGAAAAGTGAACCAATGAAGAAGGAATTGCCAAATATTTCTAATAGTAGTATTGGGATTTTTTTCATTATCCAATTTTTATTATTGATTGTGATTGTTATTATGTTTATAACATTTAGAATGTAATGTGTATATTAAATACGTATGTAAATTTGTAAAATCAAAATCGTTTCAAATATTTATTGCCACTGCTATTATTGTTGTTGTTGGAAAGTTATTCCGCTAATTTTGGAAGAAAAAGATATCACTGCCAAGATAATCATGTAGTTATCCACAAATTTCGTGAAACCTCAGAATATCCAATTTTTATTGATGGGTTGGGCGCGTGTTATCCTTATTTAAAAATCGATTTAGCGATCGCGGATATTTTTCGTGGATAATAATACTGCCAAGGCACTGGGAAAACAGCGGCTTTTATTATCCCCAGTTTGGAAAATATCAAACCATTCGCTAAACCCCAAATTTTAGATTTGGTGCCAACCCAGGAGTCAGCGTTACAAGTTACTGAAGAAACGAAAAAAATATATGTATATTATGTTACGGCATTTAATTTTAAAACTTCTAAAATTAAATTTTTTTCAAATACTGCTATTACTATATGCATTATTATTACGGTGTTACGAAAACATGTAATGGTGCAAGTCACTTAGTCACTGAACTTTTTGTGTCATGACGCCAATTTTGAGAAAAAAATATTCCAATCAAAAATGCAATAAAAAATTTTAGTCACGTGTTTTTTGAAGATCGTCAAGGGCAGAATTTTATCTAAAGACCTCCTAAAAATAGTTGGATGCGAAACATCCTAGCATCCTTTTGTACAATGATGTAGTTTTTCATAAAACAAACTATTTCATGGCCAAAAAAACATATACATAAATAGACCAAAAAATAAACCAACTTAATTTTAATGTCAACATGGTGTAAAATAGATAAATTTTTGATTTTGCGTAGCATGGCATGCGTGATTGCATAATACCTTGGGGTTGGTCACAATGGTTGATCATCAAAAATAATAAACATCAATAACAAATTTTCATATATGCGGATTTTTTAAATGTTATTTTGAAATTTTTGTAACGCCTCCAAAATAGTAAAAATCAATAAAATTGACAACTTTGAACCTTTATAAAAAAATTTTCTACTAATATAATCAAAAAAACTCACTGATAGACTATTAATTGAGTGTTTTTAAATACAATTGCGGAAAGATTATTCACATAGCTTGCTTGGTTACTAAGCCTTTACATTTTAAATTCCCATTTTTTATAGTAAAAACCAATAAAATTGACAACTTTAAACTTTTATAAAATTTTTTTTTACTAATATAAATGAAAAAAACTCTCTGATAGGCTATTAATTGAGTGTTTGAAAATAGAATTGCGAAATATTATTCACACAACTTGTTTGGTTATTGAGCCTTTAGGTTTTAAAGTTTATCTAAATTTCCATCATTAATAGTAAAATCAACAAAATTGATAACTTTGAACCTTCACAAAAAATTTTTTTTACTAATATAAATGAAAAAAACTCTCTGACCAGTCATTAATTGAGTGTTTTTAAACAAAATCGCGGAAGGGTTGTTCTCACAGCTAGTTTGGTTATTGAGCCTTTACATTTTAAAGTTTATCTAAATTTCCATCATTAATAGTAAAATCAACAAAATTGATAACTTTGAACCTTCACAAAAATTTTTTTACTAATATAAATGAAAAAAACTC